CCCCCCCCCAGTCCAAGACAACTGTCACCAACCCAAATACAAGGGGTTTGAGGTGCCGTGAGGGCAGTGAGGAGGTGAGGAGCATCAGAGGCTTGGGTCTGGGGCGTCCTTACCAGAAAGCCCGCCTTTGTTACAGGCAGGGGCGGTGGCAGCTTTCAGCAGGGCAATCCCCGCTGCAACACTGGGAAGCTTGACAAACAGAAAATGGGCTGCCCACCAAGTGTTCCCTGTGGCCGACCTGGGCAGAAAGGAGGGAAGGCTGAACCCTGGTCTGAAGATCAAGCTGACATTCCAAGAAGAGATGCATCCTGGGTATCCTCTGAGACTAAGCCTTTTTTAAAATTTTTATTTTCAGTACATTAAATTTACTCATAAAAACATTCTAAAAATGTACAATTTTTCCTTTTTAACAAAGTATAATAAAACATAAAAACCCCAAAAAACAGAATACTTGACATTTACAATTCAAAATCAAATTAGCGGAATATTAAATATTTACAAAACTATATCTTTTAAAAATATTTATAAAGTTACATGCATTTTTGTAGAATGGCTCAAAAATGGGAGGATTTTCCTAAAAAGAAAACACGTCCAACAGAAGCTGTTACAGAGTCTTGAGTACACAAGGTGTGTTTTCAGGACCAAAGCCTTTATCTTTTTGTGCACGTACGAACCTACACATACATTTTTTAAAACCATGGGGAGGGCTTATTACAATACACATGAGGTTGTGTCTGGGGACTGGTGACCTTTGGCCCCCTTTCCTTGGTGAGTAGTGTATAGTAACCTTGACCTTTGGCCTCAACCAGCACAGTATGTTGTATCCTAGAATATTGCAAATGTTGAAGAAAGCCGCTCACTTTCCCCCTCAGGACTTGTCAGCGGCTCAGCCTCTTTGGAACCCGTGGCCTTTTTAGTGTCTTGATGCCCGCTTTCCTGCGCTGGAGACCGGCCGGCTGGCTGGCAGCCCGTGTTCCCACAGGGTGGCTCCCTCACCAGTATGCAGAACACACAGGAAGAGCAAGAGAGAGAGGCGGGAGTCTCCCGGACAGCTCCCTGGGAGAGATGTGGCGACTGCCCTTCAGCAAAGTCACTGCGCCGTGCCTCAGCACCGCCTGTAGTGTGGACTGTCGACCCCTTGCAAGACAGGACCTAGAATTCTAAACACTGAAGTAAAATACTGAATCTACTAACTACTGTATTAACAAGTGAGTCTCTATAGTCTGGAGACTAGATGATGCTGGTTGTTAAGACCCGATCACACATGCTTTCAAAGAGTGTCTCTCTTGTCCTCGGTGAGAAGTGCTAGCTCCCAGGTCCTCCATCTGGGCTCTGCAGTCATCCGGAGTTAACTGAACACGATCCCATTTTCTACATTACCACGAGAGATAAATGACAAATAAGATAGAAAACTGAGTGTTTGGCTAAAACAACAAAATGAGGCTAAACAGTTGTTTTATCCCGACATTGTGATCTACTTGGATTTGGACATTCCACTCTGAAAATTCTTGGAGAAAAAAAACAAAGCCAAAAGTGGCTGAGAGCCTTTCACAGGTGCCAGGCTGTAGGCCCGTGCACGGATGGTGTCGCAGCGGCCACCGCAGCATGGGTTCAGGAGATGACCAAGTGCTAGCACATCTGCTGACTGGGAGAAGCCGGAAACTTAGCAGCTCCAGAGAGACGTTGGTCAGAGAGAATACTGCTCACAAACCTAGGAAGGCCGAGTGTGGGACTGACTCATCTAGAGGAGATTTCAAGCGTCAGCAGGCGACTTTTTCTCTGTGCCCTGTAGCATATGTTTACATTTTCACAGTTCTGGGACTGGGGACGCACACTTTGAGAGTCACGTTGAAATGTCGGAAACCTGTGATGACGCAGACAGAGCCACGTCTGGCCTTCTGGACCTTGGTTCTGAACCTTGTCCCTCAAATCAAAGGAGTGGGCTCCCTGTGCTCACGAGCCTCTGCAGCTCATCAAAGCAGTTCGTTCGAAAGGGCAACACTAGACACGCTCACTCCCCAACACTGACCGCTACAACACAAACCGAAATAGGGTGATTTGCTTTTGTTATGAGACAGTTTTCAACAACTTCATGTGTTGAATAGGATTTATTTAAAATATCTCTGTTTAAAAAACCAAAAAATTTAAAAGTTTGGCTTTCAGCACATTATCAGGCCAAGGTGAGGGCCCTCAGAAATGTTAGAATCGTCGACAGCAGCGAGCACGCCGAGTCTCCCTTTAGCAGAACAGGACAAGCTCCCGTCTAGTACTCTTTAAGGCAAAATTGTGTCAGCTCTCATTATTCTGACATTTTGTAGTTGGTGAACTTTGCTGACAGATCACTAACGTCCCCCAGATAGCTGTTGTGTCACCGTTACTTGAGAGCCATGTGTCACGTGGGACCACACAAGCTGGGTGTCACGAGTGGGATCGGAATGCAGACTCTGGTCAATTCTGCACTGCATAGAAATGAAACACTACGAAAATAAAACTCTACAAAAAGCCTTTTGTAAAAAATGTAACAACGTTCTGCTTTCGCTTTCACTTTGAAACCAAGAAACGTCTTTCAGCATCTGAAGCCTCCAGTTCCAGAGTGTTCTTTTGATTTGCACCCATTTTGCTCGAGGCAGACTGTCCCATCTCACCAGAGGTGTGAGTATGGTGATTTCTCCTCTTCTTCTTTTTAAGTAAATATTCAACTGGAAAATCTCTGGCAAAACCTTACCAGATCAGTATTTTAATATTGAAGGCTTTAGGATTATAGTAAATGATACTATTTTAGCAGAAAACTCCCCTTAACCTTGAAGTTAAATTTAAGTCCCTAGATTTCGGACTATAAAGCTTTCATCATTCCAATGGGCTGAAATTTAGAGATCTATGGTAAGAACTTTATTTCCCACCTTAATAAAAACTAGACTTTTACAAATACTTGAGACCTGTTTTGGTGTGTGGTCTCTTTCAAAGTCTTACTACTTGCCAATGACATTTTCCAGGTAACTTTAACGGAATTAACTAGTAACACACAGTCTAGTAGAAAAGAGCTGACAGGAGAAAACTGAACTCGTGCTCATCATGACAGGGTTGTCTTAGCGTCTGACTCCGTGGGGCGCCTCAGCACGCAGCCTTGGCAGGGGGCCCGTGCCGCCGACTGCCCAGGATGTGCGGCCCCTGTCAGCCGGCGAAGCCCAGAGGTGGGTGTTGCTGTGTGTCTACAGTCTCTCCTGCTGGGCTGGGAGGAGGCTGAGCTGCTTGCATCTGACGACTGGATTCGCTGGGACTTGGACCCTTAGAAGTTAAGTTGTTCTGAGTAAACGGTTTCTATAGAGTAGTGTAGTGTCGCTTACATTTATCTGCAGGAGAGAAAACAGAACCTGGAACTGCTACAAGTGTTTGAGGAGGGGAAATGGTGACTCTGGTTTGGGAAGCCACGTTGCCTGCTGGTGCCAGCTCTGATCCGGCGGAGGACTTGGCTCGCGTGTGCTGGATGGTCTCCTCCAACTGCAGGGCTCCACGTCTTTCTAGACCCTTCTGCAGTGCAATCTTTGCAAAGCCCAGAGACAAGTGCCTGACCACTTTGGGGAACGACAACGAGAGGGGACACTACCTGACCGGGCTGTCAAGACTCCACTTGGAAAACGCCAACCTTCGGTCCTCGGGTCAGGTGGCGTGTAGCTGCCTTGGAGCCGCGTGTCGGCCTGGAGGGCCTGTCACAGCCATGCTCCTCGGAGGGGGGAGGTTCCTGCACCACCACACCATGGAGACACCCGCTAGGCGAGTCCCGACAGCAAGCTCCCAACTCAGGTTTTGGCAATCACATTGCTTCTGACGTACTCCTAGGCTCGGGTCCCATCCGGTCTAGTAAAGTAAAGCACCTTTGGATTAAAAAGATGACGCTCAGCCGCAGCAGCAGCCAGACGGCTCCGTGTTGAATTTCATTTTCCTCACGTCTCCATGGCTTCATAACGTTCTGCTGCCAGAGAAAAATATCAATCTGTGGAGTCCAGACTTTCTGCTGGAGGGGCGTATTTCAACCTGAAAGTACCTGGGGAGGGAAAACAGGTAACATCTCAATCTCAACAAGCTGCCTGTTCTCAGCATTCCCCACACTCCCTGGCTGTCAGGACCTCTACAGCTGGTGGGGTGTGGGGCACACCTCCCAAGCCGAGCTCAACCCTGTGAGGTAGCCCAGAGGACAGACAGACCCGCTCAGCAGGTTCTGAAAGCTTTCCCTGGATGAGGGCAGTGAGAACCTTGACCAGCACGTCACTAACCGTCTAGGAGCCACACTTGTCACAATGTGCACTGAACTCTCTTTCCACGAGACCTGCTCGCAGACACGAGGCAAGCACCCCCACATGACAGCCGAGGGGCAGTAGAGAGCCCCCACCACAGCCCAGGAGTGCGCTCATGGGGGAACGCACTTGGAAGCAGTGAAGCCAAGCATCTGGTGCATTTTCAAGAGCCTCTGGAAATTGGACCCCTAAAGGAGAGCAGCTGTGTGTGCCTCGCCTTACCTTGCCGGTTGAAGTCCATAGACGGCTGCTTGCAGTCCTGGGCGCGGTGGCCAGTGGCCCCGCAATTGTAACAGGAGAGGTTTCCACTTTTCTTGTGACTGGATCCGTTGCTACTGCCTAGCAGCCCCTGGGCCTGGTAGACGCCGGCCGAGCCCGCCATGAAGTTCTGCATCGGGGGCACGGCAAATGTGGACGGGCCACCCAGCACGGAGTCTGCAGCCAGGCTGCTGCTGTATGGGGAGTGGACGACCGGAAAGGCGGCGCCCCCGCTGTACTGCTGGGCGCCCACGTAGCCACTGCTGCACATGGGGCTGAAGGGCAGGAAGGGGAACGTAAACATGGACGGCCCGGAAAACGGGTGCTGGAAGTAGTTGGCGTAGCTGACCGTCAGACCGCTCGACCCGCAGCTCCCGCTGCACCCGCAGGATGTGCAGACGATGCAGCCAGGTGGGGGCGCGGGCGGCGGCTGCTGATGGTGGTGGTGGGGGTGGGGATGTGGGTTTTGACCAGCAGCAGCCAGGCTTCCTGTGGAGCTGCTGCCCGCGTAGAAGCTGTTCTCAGGAACGGAGGGAAGCGTGGGGCTGGGGCTGGGGGCTGGGCAGCTGCTCAGATTCGCCATGGATGGGTGGCTACTGGAAGAGGGGGGATTGCTGCCCTGCGAGGGAGCCCCGGACCCGCTGCTGAGCGCGGAGAAGGCGACTGTGGTGCTGGTTGTGTACAGGGCAGTCCGCGGCTTGATTAGTGCAGGGGGCACGCTCATTTGCACACTATGGGAGCAGGAGGTCTGCCCGGCGGCGGCCGAGTCCGCAGGCACAGATGAGGACACCAGGAGCTTGAGGGGCGGCCGAGCCGCCTGGAAGACGGGGCCTGAGGCACCCGAGGCCGCCGGGTTCGTGTCCACTGCCAGGCTGGGCTGCGGGGCCGTCTTCATCACCCGCTCCAGCGCTGAGGTGGGCACCACTTTGGCCCGGGGACCAAAGGAGATGGAGGGGGACAGGGAGCTGCCCTCAGGGACGGCAGCGAGGACTTGCACGGGCTGGTGGGGTGTGGGCGCGGGCAGCACGTCCATCAGGGTGTTCCCAAAGCCCTTGTCCACCTTGATGCCACCCCTTGGTCCAGAGACTTTGCCCCTTTCCTCCAGAGACAAAAGCGAGTGCATGGATGCCGAGAGCAGCTTCACGTCAGTGGCGTTGCGCTCGGCCTTGTGGACGGAGCTCAGCAGCCGCATGGGGGCCAGGTGGGAGGCTGCAGGCATCATGGGTGGAGGCAGGCCGTGATGGGCCGCTGCACTGGAGCCCGCCTCGTTCTGCACAGGGAGGACCTGGGCCGTGGGCCGGGCTGCGCTCGAGGGGAAGTGGTTCAGCAGCATCACCGGCTTCTCCTTCTCGGCAGCCTCCTGGTGCAGCTCAGCACCTACCGGAGACAGAGCGTTAGTTAGCGCGTCCCGCCTTGGCCCAGGGTGGCCCCAGGAAGCCAGGAGCGTCCTTACGTCTGTCGTTCTCCTCAGCGCTGTCCGAGCTCTCCTCCCGGGCCTGCACCCCCATTGGGCTGGACGAGGAGCTGGAGTACTCCGAGGAGCTGCCTTCCCGGGGAAGCTGGTGGGCTGGGGGCTCCACCTCCACCCGCAGCTCTGCAGGAAGGGCGGGGGTCAGGCCTGGCAGGCATCACTGAGCATCCACCCCAGACCGCGCAGATTTTCTTACACCAGAGCCAGGAACCTACTGGCTATGTGACACCATGGGGGCCACCATGCCACACAACTGAAACTGGTCATCAGAAACATGGCCGCGCTGTGTATCAAACCCGTGTCATGAGGTCTTGAGACACAGGGTCTCTCTAGGCAGACGAACGGCACTCAGAGCACCTGCTCTGTGGCAGGAACCACGACACGACACATACGTGTCCTCTGAGACACACAGCCTCAGCCTCCTTCAAAGAGAAGGGACAAGGAGGGCTGGAGCACTGACCGCTACTAGCAGTCCAGCGTCCAGGAGGCTCTGGGGAAGGAGCTCCCACCCCACTCTCGCCACAAAGACTTCTGGACCTAACTCTCCTGCTCAAACAGTCGAGTCATACTGTCTCTCGCTGGGAGAATATTTCCTCCTCATGGAAAACATGGAAAAAACTATGATGATGAAAATAATTCTAAGTGGCAAATGACATGGTGTGCTTTGAGAGAGAGCTACTTAATTACCAACAGAGCCCATGGCAACGCCCATGTATTTAACACAAGCACTCGATGGCCAGACTTTGCCTCCCGCCCCCGCAAAGCCCTCACCCACCTGCAGCGTGGGTGCCACGTACGGACTGCAGGGGCCCGACGTGGCTGGTGGGGGGCACACGCGCCACACCGCTGCTGGTGACCGAGGGTGGGCCTGAGGGGTTCAGGCATCGCTTCTCCGACTTCTCCCTAGGAGAGAGGGCCACAAGGGGGCCAGTCAGCACCAGAACCTCCTGCTCAGACAGTGCAGCGGCTCCCACACCACCTGCTCATGGAGGAGTGGCTGCCATCAGAAGCATCTCAACGGTGGCACACGGGTCACTACAGAGGACCTGCCTATGGCACCAGACACACATTCGTAGCCATTTTAAAGTGTTGGCTAGAAAGTTGTCCAGCCACTGACACCTAATGAAACTGTAACTTCTAGAGTTCTGTCCCGCAGACAGAGAACTCAGATCTCAGAACCAACTTACTTCTCCAGCTCCAGTTGGGTCTTGAGCTTTTTCTTCGCTCCCATGGTGAGGGACTCAAACTTGTTTAGATCTTCTTCAGTGAGGCTCAGGAACTTTCCAAACAAGAGAAACAACACAGTTAACCAGGACTCCAAAGACATAACTTACAGCTGAATTTTACACAACTATTTTACTTCTAGGAGAAGTATAGATAATATCACTGTGCATTGTAAGACATGGGAATACAAAAAACATTTACTTGCTAAATAATTTGATGTCACGGGTTCAAGATATGAAACACTCATTTTGTGTGCCTCGTGTGTCTACCTACGGTGCCAGAACAGGCTGTTGGTCCTTTGTGACCAGCAATGAGCTGGAAAGCACACACTATGCGGTAGATGGCTACAGGAAACCAAGTGCTACAGAGAAGACGGAGGTCCCACCATAAAGGGACACCGCTTCACGCCCCCTAGCATGGCGAGGGTCAGAAACATTACAAATCACCAGTGTGGCTCGGGTTAGGGACACTGGGGCCCTCATCCATGGTTAGTGGGAACGTAACAATGATGAAGCCATCGGGGAAAAGTAGGGTGCTTCCTCACAAAATTGACCATGACACTACCATGTGACCCACCATTCTACTCCTAGCTGCATACCCACAAGAACAAAGAGCAGGAGCTCAGAGACCTGCCAACCAATGTTCAATGACACATTATTCACAAGATGCAAAAAGTGGCAACAATCTAAGTGCCCATCAACAGATAAAGACACCAATAAAATGTGGTTTATTCAGGAGAAAGCTGAGACTTTCTGCTCCCGTACAGATTGACAGCCTTGGAAACCTTGTCCAGGGTCGCTGTGTGTTGGAACTGACTCCACAACACACAGCCGCCACCACCACCATTCAAATATGGTGCCATCAAGTTGGTTTCGACCCTTAGTAACCCACTATAGGATTTCTGAAGAGCAGCTGGTGAGTCTGAACCGCCAACCTTGAGGTCGAGCGCTTATACTACAGCACTACACTAAGGGTCCTGGGATGGCACTGTGGGTTGGTGGGCTAGACTGCAATCTCGGCTTGAATCACAAGGTCAGCGGTTCAAGCACACCAGCTGCTTCTTGGAAAGCCTATCCAGGGTTGCTATGGGTTGGAACTGACTCGATGGCACTTTAAGAACAACTTTCATATACATAGGAGTCCTGGTGTGACGTTATGGGTTAATGCGCTGAACCGCAAACTCAGTTTCAACCACAAGATCGGTGGTTTAAACTCACCCAACTGCTCCTCAGAAACCCCATACAGGGTCGCCCTGGGTCGGAATCCACTTGACAGCATTTAACCATAACTTTCATATACAGGGAGCTCTACTGCTGCCATGGCTGAAGGCTCAGCTGTTAGTGAAGGGTCGGTGGTCTGAGCCTGACAATGGGCCTCTGGAGAGATGTCACCCTAGGAGACTGGGGTGATGCCATGAACTGGACTTGACAACAAGCAGCAGTGCCTTCACACAATGGGGTCTCATTTTGTCAAAATGAGCAATGTCGGATGTCGGCTATGAGGTAAATGAAGCTTGCAAATACTGGCACAAGGTAAACACGTACAAACCAAAGGACAGATACTGACTAATCTCTAGCCAGCGGCACAGAACCCTTACCAGGGCTGGGGGGCACAGAATTCCAGCTGATGGTGATCAAACTAAGAGAGTAAGTCAAAAAAATTATCTGCACTCTGGTTGCAGAACTTATTTTAATCAACTCTGAGAAAAGACAAATACATCATTTTTCAACATAATCCCCTCGCTTCAATGCACATTTTTGCCCATCTGTCAACAAGCTTTCGTATTCCCTTATTAAAAAATGTTTTAGGCTGAGCTGCGAGCCACAAATGCACACCGTCTTCACTTTATCATAGGGGAATCTTCATCTTCAAAGGGCTGCTTTCAAGGGACCAAAGGTGAAAGCCCGAGGGAAGCAGATCAGGACCACAGGGAGGCTACTTCAACACCTCAAAAAGAAAATTTTGCAAAGTGTCACCAGTGTGGGCAGAGGTGTAGCGGTGTGCAGATGTGCATCGTCATGCAAGATCACAGTACCCTTGGGTAGCAGTCCTCAGCATTTAATCCGAAGTTCAGGTTTCAGTTCTTCAGTGAGCATCTTGCTGTACGGTGCACTGTTGATGGTTCAAACTTTTTCCTGACAGTGGTCTAATACAGGCCCTTGAGAATTCCCCCCAAAATTGTAAGCATCAATTTTCGAGCTGATGGTTGACTTTTGAACTTTTTGTTGGTTCAGGCAGGCCAGATTGAGGATGTTTTCATTCCATACTCTGTTGTTCATGCTCAGGGTCAGAGTGATGAATCCATTTGTCACCAGTAGGGATTTTTTTTTTTTAAACAAACTTTTACATTCCTTTGAATATCGGTCCACATTTTGTTGTCTTCTGTGAGTTGTTTGGTACCCATCTCGCACAAACTTTTCAAAACCCAAGTCATGGATGATTTCATAAGCACAATATCCACGGTCACTCATCTATTCAACAGAATCATTTCACGTGCACGCGCAATGTTGTTATCAGCTGTGGACAGGTGTTTTCATATAACTGGAGTGCAGATCATTTTTGACTCCCCCTCACAGTTAAAAAGGACAATGATGACTGCTGTGCAGCATGACTGATTCATCAACATCACAGTGACGTATGTCTTAGTCTGTGGATGGCACCACCATTAAACTTTTTTTAAAAAGAAAACAGTAAGAGGCATTTCTGTCCTGGGATGAGCTCCTGTAAACCCACCAGTCCTCCTAGACAGACAGACAGACCGACCGACCGCGGCAGGCACACAGCCTCCTTCTGGGGGCTCCTTTGCTTCATGTCACCACTGTGTCAGGGACCACAGCAACTCTGTGGGAAGCAAGTCATCCAGAACAGGAACAACCACCCACACCGAGGAGTCCCATGACACGTAGGCCACAGCCGGGGAATACTCCCAATGTTCCGTCTGTATAGCCTTCCAGAGCCGTCTGTCAGAGCAGCCATTTCAATCCAGAGCTTCAGATGAAACATTTCACACTGACCGTGGGCGAGGTTTGTAAAATTTTGTTTTTAAGATTTAGGAACCGAAGCAGATAATATACAAAACCACATCTGTCTGTCTGTTTGTTATGACTCTGTAGTTTAACAGCTTGATTTTCAAAGTTCAATTGTGGATTTCCGGATACAGGCAAGTTGTACACAGATAAAAGCCACCACACCATTCTACTCAGCAGGGGGCGCTCAGCGCTCAAACACCATGTCCATACTAAAGTGGCAGGGACACATCCAGTAACTCCCATATGACAAGGACCCGAAGATACTTCAGATTCTCCAACCCTGAGACCGCATGCGTCTCCATGCGGGGCTACTGGAAGATGTGGTGTCTGCTTGCTCCTGGAGCCACTGGCCCTGCCATGAGGATGCTGGAGAACTGCCCTTCCCCTCACATGCTGTGTCTAGTTGGTGACAGCCCAGAAGGAGCTGGTGGATCTGCTTACTACGAGCCCTCCACAGGGCACCCTGCTGCCCCCCAGCACAGCGCCATCCTCACCCACATTCTGCCCAATCTCAGTATGGCTGGCAGAGGCCAGGTGGCCCGAGAAAACAACCCATCCTGCTTGCTTGTAACCAACCTACCTTCTCCATTGTGAGCTGCTTGAAGACGGGGTAATACTTGTGCAAACGTAGTTTCCTGAGCCAGTCTAAAATCCCATTTTGCTCCTGGGTCTGAGGACTCTGCAGACTGGAAGACATCAGGATGGTGGGCGAGGTGTCCATCTGGGCTCGGTAGGTCAGTGCCGAGCTGGTGCCTGCGGGGTGGGTGCAGTGGGGCAGGGTGGCAGTTGCACTGGTGGAGTGCGGCACATGGTGCTGGGCGCTGCTCTGTGGAGAGGGGATGCCGGCCACTCCACACACGGGCCTGCAAGGACATCGGAGCCCCGGCTGAGACAGAGTCGGAAACCCCCTTCCCACTGCACCCCCCACCCCGCCAGCACCCGCAGCAGTTGTGTGTCCTAGGCCTGCCTGTCCGAGGATGTAGTTGTGTGACGGGTATGTGTGCACACCCAGATGTATACATACATGTGTAGCTTACACATGTGCTTCAGCATGTCAACACAAGAGATCAGAGGGCTTCACATGTTGTGGGGAAACTGTCATCTTTTCTTTCTATTTCCTATGAACTTTTTGAAGTCCCTGCCTGTGGGTGTATGTGTTTGCGTATATCTGTATGCAGCACTCTTACTTATCTGTACAGTGTGAACTTACATGCATGTGTGTAAGTGCATTTGTACACATGTGCGTGCACACACAGATTGCCACTAGACCTGCGCTTGCTGCTGTGAAGTGGGAACTGAGTCGCCCTGCAGTTGAGTCTTCCACCAGATCATCACAATGAAACAAATGATTCTCTCTCTAAACTCAGATACATTCTAAAGAAGCAATAAAGCCTGGTAGAGCAGGAAGCCTGGTCACCTGTGTTGACCCTCCCGTCTGGACACACCAGCCCCAGCCTTCTTTCTGGGAGCTACCTATGGAGGTCTGAGACTGCATCCACTTTCATGTGACTCAAGGCTGATATGGACCACTCAGGGTTAACTTAGGACCCCCATCCGTTTACAGAGGAAACATTATAAAAGCCTTATTAGAAATCAGGGGGAGAAGCAGTGGGTTTCTCACCTTCCAGACATGCCCATCACGGTACCTACTTTAGAAAGGGAGGGGTTGCCAGGACCTATAATGAAAAAATAAATACGATAAAGACATGGAGACAGTGAAAATACCTTGATTTTCATTTACTCATATTTTACAAACTCACTTGGACTTTGAAGCTGTTGGGTGGGAGATGAAGTGCTGAAAAATTTCTTAACATGGTCATTTTTTAATACATGAGAAGGTACTGAAGCCAAGTACCTACAAATGAAACAAAGTGGCCTTATTAGCATTCAAACAGGATTCTTCAAAGCTAACTGGAAGAGGAGGGTTCATTTCCAATGAAGAGAAGATACCAAGTACCATTAACTACTGCTGCTGCTGCTTGTCAGGGCCCCTCCCGTCCCCGTGTCTTTACTGCACCGCAGGCAGCAGACACCCTGTACCCAATACAGGCAGCAACAAGGGTCCTGCACAGCCCGTGTGCACAGAGACCCTTCTGGGGAGGCTTCCTATCAGGCCTTAGACTGAGAAACAGAAATGTCACCAACTGGTGACATTGATTCTGAGAAGCCTTCATGCTGTCCTCCACGTCACCCGGAGGCTTTTCTCCAGGTGTCCTATAGTCAATGAGAGCCCCTAGCGGGAAAGGCAAGAGCCAGAGCTTCCAGGAGCCGGTGTCAAGAGAGCAGCCCCGCTATTCACATTACCTCAGGTCTGCCTCCAGATCCATGTGGCTTCGCTCTACATAAAATGCATCCGAGCCAGCTAAGCAAGGAATGAATTTCTCCAGATTTTCTTCAGGGTGCAGCTGAGAGAGCTGAAAAAGATGAAGCGTGCCAAATGATAACAGCAGAACAAGATGTCATACCAAACACACCAGAAAACATACGACATCAACTTAGACCTTAGTGTTTTAAACAGGTAAAGCATTATCCAAAATCTAGTAGGAATTCATCTTACATCACCAGATCTTCTCAGTTTAAGGAAAATCATCTATTAGCCATTTGAAGGCTTTCTATTTGCTTAGTAGTCCAGGGGTGGTGCTGCAGGATAAGGCACTGAGCCGCAAGGTTGACTTGAACCATGAGGTCAGTGGTTCCAACCCTCCAGCAGCTCACCGGAAAGCTTACACAGGGTCGGCTGTGAGTTGGAACCGACTCCACACAACATAACAATAACAACAAATATTAGCTTAGGCTGAAAAAGCCACAAAACAACATCGTTTCCCAAAAGATGCCAAGAGAAGTCAGACAAGCTAGAGAGTGCTGAGGGAGCAAGGCCAGCAAGGAAGAGGAACCAGCAGAAAACAGCAGGCCCCCCCCCCCCCCCCCCCCCATTCC